TCAGGACACGATCGCCCGGTAAGCAAACTTTTTAAGAGGCGGGTGACAAACGTTCCGCTTTTTTTCGCCAAGAACTGGATTTAGCCATTTTACTGTTAAAAAAAAAGTTATGCTGCGTTGAATAGATGATATATTTTTGATACTGAAATGGGAGAGCGTGAACATAAAGGCATTTTATTAAACATATTATTTTCAAAAGCTAGATGATATATTTCTACTATTGAAGTGAGAAATCGTGAATAGAGAAGCATTTTATTAAAAATATTATTTCCAAAAGCTAGAAGATGTATTATTGCTGCTAAAGTGACAAATCGTAAACAGAAAGGCATTTTATTAAAAGTGTTATTTGCAAAAGCTAAATGGTATATTTTTGCTGCTGAAAGTGAGGAATCTTGAATAGAAAGGTATTTTATTAAATAAATATGTTATTTTATAAAGCTCAGATCCAGCCTGATTCTATTATGCCTGTTGAGTCATAAAACACTGAAGACGAAGCCTCTACTTTTTTCCACGCAGACCTTACAAAATATATAAGAAAATTTGTGCTTTAAAAACTCTTATTCTGTTTATTTACATATGTTTAAGTTTTACTTTTGCATTTATCTATACACTTAATTTCGAAAGTTTTTATAAAAGCTGCACCGTCATTAATTGGCAGCTCACAATCTCCTCCTCCGTGGTCCGGTTAGACCATTCTTCTTTCTCTTTTTATATATTATTTTTTAAATTTCTCGCCTTCTCACTTTTTCAAACTATAACTTTTTTCCTTACAAATCGTAACTTGTCCCCACAAAACATTTATTTTGCTTTTACAAATTTTTTTATCACGCAAAATTCCCCATTATTAATTCCTAGTCATATTTTTGCCATTTTAAGTCTCTGCTATCTACTTCTCACTTTCTGATCAAATATGTCTGAAAATTTGTCGCTGAGTTCGGCACCAGGACGTTTCGAATTTTGCCTCATCCACAATTTCTCTTTCTTTCTCAGTCTTATGCGCATATCTTCTGTCGCTCTGTCCTGGAAAAACTCAAACTCAGTGCGTGAGTTTGCTTCATCATTAAGAAAACTCTCTGACTAAAGTACGGATGTTTTTAGAAAGACTTGTGTGGTGAAGAGTATTTATGAAAGATTTTGCAGGTGCTGCCCAATAAATGGGTGTGTGATCAGTTCGGTCAATCGGATCTTATCGTAGCCTCATCCTTTTGTACACCTGCCTATATCCGAAAATTCTACCAGCAGTTAAGAGAAATAAAGTGTTTATAGGCTAGCCATTTTGGTTTTCAAATTTTGTCTAGAGTTTCACGGACCTGTGCATGTTCTCATCCTGGAATTCAGTCACAAGTGTCTAGTGTATGAATTCCTATAAGAAGCGAGTTCAGCTAACTCCAAAGGCTAGCTCTATTGACATATAAGCCTTTTGCTGGTTTCTCCTAGGCAAATACATTTGTCTTTTAAGCACCAAAAACACAATTCATGAATCAACTTAAAGTTATGTTAATTTTGGTTGAAGATTTTGAAAGTGTCTAATTTATATCCGCACACGTATGATTACTTCATTAAAACTACAGCTCCACCATGTATTTGTTTCGTTATAACGGTAATCGTGTTTAGGAAACTGCCTTGTGTTTACTCATAAATTTACATCAATAAACCATATCTGACACTGTGAAAAAAAAAATTACTATCAAAAGCGGTGCAGCACAGCAACTGTACATATGACAACGGATAAAAAAAATCTGATGACTA